GATGATGATGCTGATGATGATGATGCTGATGATGCTCATGATGCTTGTGATGATGATGCTGATGATGAAGATGCTGCTGATGCTGATGATGATGCTGATGATGAGGGTGATGATGCTGGTGAGGATGATGATGATGATGATGCTGATGATGATGATGCTGATGATGATGCTGATGATGATGATGATGATGATGATGATGATGATGATCATGAGTATGATGATGCTGCTGATGATAACGGTGGATTATGGTTATGGTAAGGCTGCTGATGATGATGGAGATGCTGCTGCTGATGGTGATGATGAGGCTGATGATGATGATGATGATGATGATGATGATGATGATGATGATGATGATGACGATGCTGCTGATGCTGCTGTTGATGATGATGACGATGCTGATGATGTTGATGATGATGCTGATGAGGATGATGTTGTTGATCATGATGATGATGATGATGGTGGTGGTGGTGGTGGTGATGATGATGACGATGACGATGATGCTGATGATGATGAGGATGATGATGATGGTTGTGGTGGTGGTGATGATGCTGATGCTGATGATATGACGGTGTTGATGATGAAGCTGATGATCATGATGCTGATGCAGCTGATGACGAGGATGCTGATGATGCTGATGATGATGGTGGGGCTGATGATGCTGATGATGATGCTGATGATGATGCTGATGATGATGATGATGATGGTGGTGGTGGTGGTGATGATGATGCTGCTGATGCTGATGATGATGCTGATGATGATGATGATGGTGGTGGTGGTGATGATGATGATGATAATGATGATAGTGATGGTGATGATGATGATGATGATGATGATGATGATGATGATGATGATGTTGTGTGTGTGGATAGAATGATGCTGATGATGATGCTGATGATGATGCTGATGATGATGCAGATGATGATTGATGATGTGGTGGTGGTGATGATGAGATGCTGCTGATCTGATGATGCTGATGATGATATGCTGATGCTGATGCTGATGCTGTGATGGATTATGAAGAATATGATGATGATGATTATGATGATGGTGATGGTCTGGTGAATGTGATGTGATAAATCATGATTATGAAGAATGATTATGATGCTGATGCTATGCTGATGCTGATGCTGATGCTGCTGATGATGCTGATGCTGATGCTGATGCTGATGCTGATGCTGATGCTGATGCTGATGCTGATGCTGATGCTGATGCTGATGATGATGATGATGATGATGATGATGATGATGATGATGATGATGATGATGATGATGCTTCTCTTGCTGCGCCCCAGGTCGCATCAACCCGTTGGAGCCGTTGCCAGGGCTTTGACAGTCTTATCGAGTTGTACCGCGACCAGGGCGTCATGCACTGCAGCGTCCCAGGAGCGGCCGATCAATGTTTTTCCTCGTCCCAGGGGCGACGGCGGCGACGCGACGACGCCTGCGACTTTTCGTACTTTGCCCTGGGCGTCTCTAGGTGTAAAAATCCTGCCCGCATCCTTGCGTGGGGGCTCGGGGGGGGGGGGGGGGAGCAGCATGGCCACCAAGGGCTTCCATGAGCTTGCAGATGTTTCCAGGAAGAAGCCTCCAGGGCCTCCAGGGGGCTTCAGGAGCTCGCGGGGCACGCGCCCGCCCGTTCGGGTCCGCCCGCTCGTCTGCGTGATTGCCGCCCGCCTCAGTGTCCCGTGGTCCGCCCTCCCGTCAGGCCCGTCAGGGTCCTCCCGGCCCATGGCGAAGCGAGTGCCCGCCCCGCCGAAGAGGGTCCTGGCGAAGCGAGTCCATGGCTACCCGGCTAGGATGGCCCTGGCGAAGAGGGGCCCAGCGAAGCGGGACTCGGGCGAAGAGGGTCTATGTTGTTTGTTTGTTGTCCCGGGCCCGCTCGAGCAAATGACGCCCGATGTTCTCGCCGTGGGAACGACTGCCGAACGTGCACGCTTGATCCAGCAAGAGTTGCATTCTCGTGCGACGATTTGCAATCCGAGGCCCAGACTCTAGCAGCAGAGGCTGTCCCAACGCTGGTTGGAATCAGCCAGTTGAGGAGGGATGGTTGAGCAGGAGGGAAGGTGAGTCGAGGGAGGTGAGGTGAGGGAGGAAGGGAGGATGGGGAATCTGAAGACTCACCATATGGAGGAGGAGGAGGAGGAGGAGGAGGAGGAGGAGGAGGAGGGCGAGAAGGAGGACGAGGAGGATGATAAGGAGGGGAAGGTATAGAGGGATAAGAAGGAGGAGGAGGGACGAGTAGGGCGAAAGAGGAGGGTAGAGGGAAAAGGGAGGAGGGAGGAGGGAGGGAGCAGGGATGAGTGAGGAGGGAAGGGAGGAGGGAGGGAAGGAGGAGGGAGGAATGAAGAAAGAGGAGGGAGGGAGGAGGGAGGAGGGAGGAAAGAGGAGGGATGGAGGAGGAGCAAGGATGATGATGATGAGGAGGAGGAGGAGGAGGAGGAGGAGGAGGAGCAGGAGGAGGATCAGTTCTTTCTCTTGCGGCGCGTCCCTCACGCCTCCAGCATTTTGCTTGTGGGAGGCGACCAGCGGTTCGCCCCACAATGCCTGTGGGCGCCGCCAGCCATGTACGGCAGCTGCCCGCGAGCCAGCCTGGCACAGGCGGCAGCGGGTGCTGAGAGCACATGATCGAGTCATTTCTCGGATCCACAACGCCGCGTCACGTTTGGGACTTCATCGCGCCATCCCTCGTCGGTCTCGTTCCCCTCCCTGGGCCGGTGCCTCAAGCTTGGCAGTGAGGATAGGCAACGGTGGTGACGGCAAGGGCGGAGGCAAGGGTAAGGCGGGCGGTCGTAAGGGCAATAAGGGTACTGCAGTCGAGCAGCTACCGAGTCCACCCCCAGCCGCACATACCCAGTCAGCGCACTCATGGTCATGTCCTACGTCGCAGCGCCCGTCTCTCTTAACCCCAGCTTGTGCTGGCAGTGTGGCAATCACTACGCCATGCCGAAGCAGGGCAGTGAGAAGAAGTTAGGTAGCGAGTCTTTGTCGCAGCATAATGAGAAACGCGACGGTACATCTTTGAAGCCGACAGGAGCCCACATTTAGATGATGCAGAACTCAGTTAGTTCCTGAACACGAGAGAAGGCCCAGAGGCCAACACCCTGGCCAAAGAAACAGTTAGCACTTCTCGGCGGCCGTAGTGCGCAGCGCGCCCCCCAGAAGTCCGCAGGTAAGCGCACTCAGGCGTCCTGCCAGAGCATGCTGAAGCAGCAGGAGGTGGTAGGATAGAGGCAAGGCCATACGGATGAGCAGCGAGTCTCGCTGAAAGAAGCTCTCTTGACTGTCGACAGAACCCAGGACAACATGGGTCAGTCCGAGGATAGCGTAGGCATAGCACGCATTCAGAGAGTTGACCCAGCAACACCAGGACCAGGACCAGCAGTTGATCGAAGGTATGCCCCAGGATCCAGGTGTTGAAGCCGCTCAGTTTTTTGAATCGTACCAGGGCGGGTCTGGGCGCAATGGGGGTCGCCCAGAGTCCAGCACTCGGGCAAGAATTTGGTGCGTCTGCACAGGCTTTGAACATGCACCAGCCCGCCCTGACGGTAGGATCTGCAGGGTCAGGGGCTGGGCCCCCATAGGGTCCTCGAGGCGGCCCCTTCGGTGCCTGCTGATGCCGCCCTCCACCCCCCTCCGCGGGCCGCGGATGTGACCGTCGACCCTGCGGCGGCTGCCGCCCTGAAGGCCCCCCGGGCAACTCCCGGCCCCGTCCGCGGGGACTGCGGAGCTCGACGGCAACGGCGGCAGCGGTGGCCTAAGGGGAGCCTTCGCGGGCCATCGCTCTGCACGCGCACGCTCTCCTCCCCGCAACGATTTCCCAGGGCTGCGGCCGGGCAGCGGGGCCTTCCCAGGCCGCGGCTGTGGTTGTAGCGGCTGCGGAGCCGGGGAGGTCCGAGCAGAAGGGGCCCCCCCTGGCGGGCGAGGGCCCGCCGTCGTCTGGTGCCGCCGTGGTCATTGGCGCTGGGCCCACCCAGTCTATTTGCGCCGCCATCGATGACTCGTGCTTCCATGTTTGCTTTCTGCTCAGGTAACTTCCCTTCTTAGGAGACTAAGGGAAGAGGCGCGGCGCCCACGGAAGCCGAGCATTTCCTTGGCACGGCTGGCGGGCTTCATTCTTGGGGCCCTGTTCTGTCGAAGAGGATTTGCAAATTTTGTGTGGCTGCGCTGATGCGGCGTTGTTTAGGTTTTTATGGGGATAACTCGGTGCCCCCCGATAACATCTGGCCTCTGATGGCCTCGTGCTTCCTCAGGGCGCAGGGCTTTCGAGTTGCGAAACTGATGTGCGCGCTTGGCGAGGTGGATAAGGACGAAAGCCTCCCTTTCATCGTCGGCGGCGACTTCAACGTCCCCCCCTGCTGCGCTTAATTGTGGTTGACCGCCCAGTAAGTTAGGGGGCGCAGAGCTTGGCGCGGACGATGCGCCTACCTATGTCAGCGGACTGGCCAGCGCGCGCGTTGATTATTTGTCGGTGGACCTTTTTTTTGATGCGCAGGCCTTGTGTTCTCACGCTGATGGACTTAGGGTAGTTACCGCGTCGGCCCGTCGTTATCAGGGTGCTACTCGACGCCTCTCAGGCTCGGGGTAAGCAGGTCGCCCCTGTCGAGAACATCCCAGCCGCCAGGCCAGTCGGTCCCTCTCCTGCCCCTCTTCCTACCAGGCTGTTTCTTCGAGTCTTCGGGTGGCTCTGGGGCCGGTTGCTCGTCCGGGAGAGGGCCTCCGTTCTCTTGCCCGCCCGGCGCAGAAGGGAGCGTTGCAGGAATCTTTGGGCGGAGGCCACCAAGAGTGGTTTATCCGAGCGCCCCCGAGCTGCGCGATAGTTTCTGGTGCGACGGCGAGGACTCGCCGGCAGCGTTCAAGGCAGGTAGCGGGCGCCAAGTTTGAGATGCGAAGCAGCCCGCGGGACAAACCCCGCCCATGCTCTCGCGTGTGCCAGTTATCGGACCAAGGAGTTGGCGCACCTTGGGCACCCAGCTGCTATAGAGTCAGTTTACGTTTCAAAGTTGCTTGATCGCGATTCAGTTCTCGCCCAGGGGGCGCCCTTTTCGCGCGCGCTGGAAGGAAGGGTGCCCCCTCGGGCATGCGCGCCTTTCGATAATGGCTACGCGTTTCAATAGGGACACCAACGATGACATAAACATAACAACTCGGAGGTCCGCGCGGATTTCTCGGATCGGCGGTGGGCCCCCCTCCATGGCGCGCGGAGCGCGCCGGGGGCGGTGCCGGAGGCGCCACCTGGGGTCTGCAGCAGCGCCGATCCGAGAAGTCCACGCGGACCTCCGAATTTTAATGTTTATGTCCTTGTTCGTCCCCCTATGCAAGGGACGCGCTGGCGCAATCTGGTTCGGGGCGTGCGCGGAGCTAGCTCAGGAGGGAACAAAAGCACACCGACACAATTTATCGTCCACTCCCATGAAAATATGGGAAAATATGGGAAGTGGGGGGGAAGACAAAAATCCAGAAAATATGGGAAAATATGGGCATCTTTTTACTTGTGTGTATTTACTTGTGTGTCCTAGGACCCCTTGACTAGCGGGGTGGGCGGGCCGTGCTAAAGTGATGCATCTGGGCCGGCTCCCGAGGGGCCGCGCCGCGGAGAGGGCGTCTTGGGGGCGATGGCGCAAGTCGGGCGCGCCCCTGCGCGGGAGGAAAATTCAAACATAGGAACAAATAGGACAACATATTCAAACATAGGAGTGCTCAAGCATAGGGAAACTAGTCGGGGCGGTCTGCGGACTATTTGGTAGCCGTTGTTTGAGGGTGTTTGGGATATGTTTCATTTGTCGCTCAAAGCCCGCATGCGGGAGGACGCGCCCGACCTGGCACTCGTGCGAGGAGGTGCTGGGTGGCTGGCGGGGCTGGCGGGCCCGCGCGCATTCGCGCAGTCCAGGGGCCATGTGCTCAAGTCGGAAGTCGGTTCTCGCTCCCGCAGGCCCTGCGGCATCTCTGCTGGCGCGCTCTCGCGAAGCAGGAGGAGCTGCGCAGCACTGCGTGGGGCGCCCCTCTCGCCCCGACGCGCGACTTTCCGCCGCCGCGGGCTCGGGGGCGAGGCCCCCCCAGCGGCGCCCCCCCGGGCGACGCGTGGAGCTTCCCGGCAGTAGAAGGGCTCCATCCGCGGCGCTACTCCCACCTCTCGGAGGAGGCCCTCGCGGGCCTGAGCGGGCCGGGCATCCCCTGGCGCGTTGCTGCCCCTCCTCCTCCTCCTCCTCCCCCTCCCCCTCCTCCTCCTCCTCCTCCTCCTCCTCCTCCTCCTCGTCCTCCTCCTCCTCCTCCCACCTCCTCCGCCTCCTCCTCCTCCTCCTCCTCCTCACTCCTCCTCCTCACTCCTCCTCCTCCTCCTCCTCTTCCTCCTCCTCCTCCTCCCCCACGCTCGAAGTCTGGGCGAGGGCTGCTAAAACCGTGGCTGCTAAAACGGCCCTCCCGGAAGGACAAAACAACTTCCCGGAAAGACGCGCGGCACGCGGAACAGTCAGCGGGCTTCTTCCCGGAAGAACGAGGACAACTTCCCGGAGGTCGATTTTAGCAGCCACGGATTTAGCAGCCCTTCCCTGGCTTCCGACACGCCCACCCCCCATCCATCCTTATGCAATGTCTTGGCGTTCAGCTGTTTGCCGGGCCCTCGGGCGGCCAGCGGCCGATCGTTTGTTTCGATCTTAGAAGAGCTTCCAGCGGCTGCGCCGCAAGGTCCAGTCTTCGTTCGCAGCCGAGTGGGAGAGGTCTCTCGACGGCGACAAGTGCTTCTTTATGGCCTCGCACCGCCATTTCGTCGACAGTGCGTGGGGGGCCCAAGTGCGAGCCCGTTCGGCTTGCGCTGGTGGCGCTGCCGCGCCTGCCGCGTTGGGGAGCCTTGAAGATCTTTGCGAACGCGTCGATCACGGGGCGGTCAAGAGGGGGGTGGCTGAGTGCAACTACCCGCCTTCTCTTTCCAGAGCTGCCCCGCGCTCGTATCGCTGACCGAGATTCGCGGCGCTCGACGGCGCTTGATCTGACCTTCGTTGCGCCCGGATCGTGGGCAGGTCGCGGGCAGCTCCGCTACCGACGACGAGGTGGCGTGCGTGATGCTGCCGGGCGTTCGCGAGCTGGTGCCGCAGTGGGCCCGTGGCGATGTGGGCCTCTTCGCCGGTGACATTCCGCTGAATGTCGTCGCGGCGTCCAAGGGTTCTCTGTCGGCAAGTCTCCCACCGCTGCTAACCGGCCCGGGTTGCTCCGGAGGGCTCGAAAGGCTCTCGGCGCGCGGGCTGGACAGGCTGGTCCTGCCATCGAGTTTCGGGGGGCTGGCTTTTCGTCCTCGTCTGGCAGGGGGGGCGGGCGCGCCGATGGGGCCCGAAGGGCTCGCGAGGTCGGGGGGGGCCGCGCTCGGGAGGACCTGGAGAGAATGGTCATGCAGGTTTCTTCGGCCCAGCGGAGGGCCAGGCTGTTCTCCCGCGCGGTCTTGCCTTCGTTCTGGCGCGGGCGAGATGCCCCTGGGAACCCGCCGCGTGATCTCGCAAGGCTCAGGTCGGGGAGCGCCGTGTCCGGGTCAGGCCGGCGCGGGGAGCGACCTCTTTCTCGCGTCGGCCCCCCTCGGCCCCCGCGGGCCCCTCCTGCGGCGGGCCTCCGCGACCTTGGCGCGGGCCTGCCAGAGATTGGCGACAACGGCCTGGGTCCTGGCGCTCTCGGCAGAGCTACCTGCGCTGCCTGGCGAACTACACCTTAGGCGATGCTTAAGAAAACTTAAGTTTTCGGCCAGAGACTCGATTATTCTTAACGTTTCAATGTGAATCTTGAGATGTTCATGGAAACGTTGGGTGTTTATTCAAGTTCTGAGACTATGAATTTCTTAACCCACGATTTCTGAAGCATTTCGCAGGGTGTATCTTGGACAATCCAGCGGCGCGGCCGGCTGGGTTGCGCGGCGGCTTGGGGCCCCTGCGCGACGCTGGCGCGAGGGCCTTGCGACCGGCGCGCCGGCCCTGGATGCGAGGGGGGCAGGGAGATGGAACATGCGCGCGTGGAGGGGGTGGGGCTCTCGGGCCCTCCGGGGCTTCTCGGGGTTCCCCCGGGAGCTTCCCGAGGGCCTCCTGGGTGCTTCTTGGGGGCTTCTCGGGGGGCTTCTCGGGGGGCCTCTCGGGGGGCCTCTCGGGACCTCTGGGGGCCTCCTGGGAGGCTCCTGGGGCCGAGGGCTCCAGAGCTTCTGTCGAGTCCCTGGCGTGGGCTCGCTCTGGGAGCCGTTTGAGGGCCTCGCGGGCCGTCTCGGAGGCCGCGGGCGGCTTGGGGCCCCTCCCGGGTCGATGCGGGGCCCTTTTGGCATCTGCTGGGGCTGCCTCGGGGCAGCCTCGGGGCGGTCGCGGAGGCCTCTGGGGCCGTCTCGGGGCGTCGGGGAGCCATGAAGGCGAGAGCGCCAACGTCTTTCAACGCCAGGAGGAACGTCAATGATTTTTACTGATTGGGGTCCTTGTCGGAGTGCTCTTGGAGGCCTCGTGGTGCGTCTTGAAGGTGTCCTGGGCAATTCGGCGGCGTGCCGGGTTGCGCGGTCGTGGGAACCCCTGCGCGATGCTGTCTTGTGGCTATTGTGAGCAGGGGTAGATGAATGACGGCCCGTGCACTTCGATTGCCAAGCAGTCCCCCGCCAAGGTGGCCCCTTTCTATGGGAAGGACTTGCAGGAGGCCAACTTGGCCAAAGCTGCGGGGCAGCTTCTCGGGGATCATTCTTCGGGTGAGGACGGCGACGTCCGTGGCCGGGGACTCTGCGGCGCGCGTCTTGCCCACGTTGTCGACGGCGGCAATATGCCCAAAGGCCCTAAGCAGATGCTTCGTTTTGTCTTTACCAGCGGTTTCCCCGCCGCCAAGACATTGCACTCCTGGGCTTCACACTGGCCCCCGCGCGCCAGTTTTGCCATCGTCGCGACTCGCGTTGGCGCGGAGTGCGGGAGTGCTGCCCTTTCGCATTGCAGAGCTAAAAAGGGCGAAATTGATGGACCTCGCGCGTGTTGCCGAGGCCCTGGGCGCCGTGCCCCGCCCTCTTCTCTTTCCGTGTTTGCGGATGGACCGCTGGCCCATGCGAGGCGAGTGCTTTGCGAGCCCGTGAGATTTCCTGGTAGGCGCAACATGTTCATTCACGGGTCTTGCCCGACACCCGCGTGCGTTGTCATGCCCATGGCTGGGTGGGTGTTGAGGAGATCCACCCGGATGGGCAGTCGGTGTCTGGGATGCATTGCGGGGGTCGGTCTCAGGATGCGGGCGTCGAGAGCCGACGGCGTCCATGGGCGTGCACCACTCCCTTTTGATGAGTTTGAATGCTGCGGAGTCGGGGACCTCGCAGCACTTGGGCATCATGATAGACAGTGCGGCCTCGACAACCGGCGATGGAGATCGCGCTTCGTGGGGCAAGCGGTGCGTTGTTAGGGGGCTTTGGGGACGTGTCAGGTCCCTTCCAGTCCTGCACATCGCCCGCAAGGTCAAACCGCGCAGATCGGAGGATGCCGCTGCAAGTCAGGCGGAGCAAACACCAATCCAATGAACAGGTATGCAAACTGTTTAGCACAGCATGGAGCTCGGGCCAACGAGCTCGATCCCACCGGTTTTGGATCGGACGGAAATTGCCCGTAAGAAACTCATGTTTGTTGCGTGCTGTTTGGGCAGTTGCCCGCATGTGGGCCTTTAGCCCGGGGCCAGGGAACTCTTCGCGCGTGTCGACGGCCTTCCTGAAGCCCCACAGGCCCCCGTTTGTTGCTGCCCACGGCTTCCGCCTCGCTTTCGACGGAGTCATATGGGGATGTGGGCGCCGTGCCGAACGTTTTCTTGTGTGTGTGTGTGTGTGTGTCTGTGTGTGTGTGTGTGTGTGTGTGTGTGTGTATGTGCTTCTCTCCACCCCGAGCGGGTTATGGGACCTCATGCGGCTCTCACCCCTTCCATGGAGGCCCTTCTGAGGTCCGTCTCGGCCGACTCTCGCCTGTGGTTCGGCGCTCGCACTCACAAGTTTTGTCGCCCCGTCTTGCTTTGCAATCGTTTCGGCAGTTAGATGCAAGGCAGACGGGATCCACCCACCTTGCTCCGACCCCGTGCCCAGGTTGAGCCAGAGCGTCGTGCAAAGCCGCAGGATCGGCAGACTTCCGTGGCCCTGTGGCATCACTTGTTGCACGCCCTGCCCCCTGGCTGGGGCAGCGGACAGGTGGCGGGCTTAGCCGCTTGTTTTTTCTTTCGCACAGGCCCTCGCTCATCGAACGGGCTCGCCGATCAACCAGGTGCAACGGAAAACATGATATGATGGTGGTGGTGATGATGATGATGATGATGCTGATGATGATGATGATGCTGATGCTGATGCTGATGCTGATGATGCTGATGATGCTGATGATGAGGATGATGATGATGATGATGATGATGATGATGATGATGATGCTGATGCTGATGCTGATGCTGATGCTGATGATGCTGATGATGAGGATGATGATGAGGATGATGAGGATGAGGGTGATGATGATGATGAGACTGATGAGGATGATGAGGATGATGCTGATGATGCTGATGGCGATGTGGATGATGGTATGATGATGCTGATGATGACGATGCTGATGCTGATGATGATGCTGCTGCTGGTGGTGATGATGATACTATTGCTGCTGCTGCTGATGATGATGATGCTGATGATGCTGCTGCTGCTGATGATGATGATGATGATGCTGATGATGATGATGATGATGATGATGATGATGATGATGATGATGATGATGATGATGATGATGATTAGGAGGAGTAGGAGGAGGCGGAGGAGGAGGAAGAGGATGACGAGGAGGAGGAGGAGGAGGAGGAAGAGGAAGAGGAAGAGGAAGAGGAGGGAGAGGAAGAGGAGGAAGAGGAGAAGGAAGAGGAGGAAGAGGTGGTGGAGGAGGAGGAGGAGGAGGAGGAGGAGGAGGAGGAGGAGGAGGAGGAGGAGGAGGAGGAGGAGGAGGAGGAGGAGGAGGGAGGAGGAAGGAGGAGGAGGAGGAGGAGGAGGAGGAGGAGGAGGAGGAGGAGGAGGAGGAGGAGGAGGAGGAGGAGGAGGAGGATATTGGGGGAGGGGGGGCGCAAGGAGGAGCAGCAATTTGAGATGTGAGGGAACGTGCAAAGCATGTGCTTCTCCAGAGTATTGCAGGCCCGCCGTGTTCCACAAGGGTGAGCAGGTTGGCGTCACCCGTCTTGCATGCCTCTCACCCGTCTTGCATGCCCCTCACCCCGCTCCCTCCTCCCCTGACCACTCGCGTTCTCTCTAACCTCCCCTCTCTGCCTCCTTCTCCTTTCCCTCCCCACCTCGGAGAAGTTACCAGATCCTGCCGCCAATGAAAGCCAAGAACTTGAAAGTTTGTGCTCATCTTCGCGCTGCCATGGGTATGGGCATGTATGGCAACGCAATGCGATAGACAACACCACAATCATACTTATAATTTGTTAACAATGAGTACGAGGAATCACGCGAAGCATAATACATTGCGGATATCCAAATCACGACCGATAGCGGTCCTGGCTCCCTCCGTCAAGCCCTACTTAAATTTGCGCGCCCTCATGCTTTTGGGCGCCGGCCTAAAGCACGACAGAGTAACCGTCGCGACTCCCTCACCTCCTCCCCTCGCGCCCCCTTTTCCATTCCCCCCGTCACCTTCTACCCTTCCCTCTCCCGTGGCCCATGGCATTTTGGTCACTCGGGCGCTCCACGGGCACCCGAATGATCTTGATTGCCAGGAGCAGATGATGGCTCTCCAGAAGGATTGACGCTCTCGCACGCTGCCGTCGAGAGAGTTTTGACCGGCGAAGCGCCGACCCGAACCGACACTCCTCCACTCGTCGTCGTCGTCGTCGTCGTCGCCCTCCTCCTCAAAGTCGTCGTCGTCATCCTCCTCTTCTTCCTCTTCCTCCTCCCCCTTCTCCTGTGCCTTGCCGCGCATGTCCTCCTGCTCCTCCTCCTGCTCCTCCTCCTCCTCTCCCTCCTCCTTACGTATGTGAGGAGGTGGTTAAGGGAGAGGATGGAGAGAAATACGTCTGTGGGAACCGTTACAGCACATACAGCGGACTAACAACATACAAAGCATGTGCTCATGGACAAAGGGCTTTACTGAGTTTGCTGACCGCGACGAATCAATGCCCGTGGTGCCGATGCCTCTTTTGCAACAGGGATGTGGCTGTGTTACTCGTGTCTTCGGTATGTGAAGACAGGAAGGTGTCTTGTGTTGACTTCAGTCCGCGGTGTCACGATGCGGTCCAACCGAAGGAGCTGGTATGTCCCGTATGCTACGCTCATGCTCCATTTTGGGAGGCACTACAGGTGCATGTTTGCACGCACCATCCTGGGCCCGATCGGGCTCGCTTTCCTCGTGATCTGGAAGCTCGCCCTGAAGGATCATATGTCGTGGCGAGTAACGGGCGCGCGTGGCGAAGAGGGAGGGGGGGCTTCCAGGGACTGCCGCTGGCTCCCGAGGCGCCGCAGCCGCGGCCAGGGGAGGCAAGGGCAAGAAGGACAAGACGGGGGCACCGCCGAAGTTCCAGCGCGTGAGATGCGGAGGGCGAGCTCCAGACAGGGAGGAGGTCGACCTAGTGGACGCGGTGGTGTCGCTTCAGACGCTCGGCCTTCGTCAGGACCTACGGTCGCGAGAGCACGAACACTCGTTGCCCCTATTCTACTTGGTGCCGAGGACCACCAGGACGGCCAAGATGGGCATCGAGTCTGGCATGAACTATTGCGCGGCGGTGGAGACTGCGCGGCAACGGACACCGGCTGGGAGCGCCCTGCCTGCAACCGGTCGCGGGGGCGTTCGACGGGCGGATCGAGGACAGCAAAGATGGGCAGCGCAAAGAGGTGCTCAGGGCGTACCAGCGGCTGTTCCAGACAGATAGTGGCCCGAAGTTCGTGAAGAAGATTTTCGACAGCTTCCGCGTGAAGGAAACGTACATCGAGGAGGAACACGACATCACGGTGAAGGTGAGCTTCAACATCACCGCGTTGGCAGATGTGGCGATGCTGGGCGAGTGATGAACGGTGAGGATCGAGGGCGAGATTCTTATTCTCGGCTTCTGGAGGAGGGCAATGATGAAGGCGTTCGCGGAGGAGGGAGGCATGACAAGAGACGCACCGCCACCCAAGGACGAGCTGCGCAGGGTCGTGGAGCGACAGCTGCCCGAGCTTCAGCGGCAGAAGTAGTATGGTGGGTACCATCAAGGCGCGGCGTATGCTGGAGATAACAGGTGATACAACAGCGTTCGGGGAGAGCCTCGCCCTGAGCGAAGCAGGCCTTGCCCCGCCGTCGGCATGACGCGGGAGCGCCCCCGTGCCGACGCGGCACCGCTTCGGGGTCCGTGGCCCCAGGCGGCCGCCGCAGGTCCGTTCCGACGGCAGCAGATGTTATCAAACGTGGCCGTTCCATATAATTTTCGTGGGGATCGAATCTCAAGTGGTGGGCTTATTCGAGGCGTATTGGCCCGCGGAGGCGAGGGAGACATTGTCCCCCTACGCGCATATTTTTAATTACCAGATCCTAGCATTTCATGTATTACCACAGCATGCCACACTGTACCATATCATAATGTACCATACCGTGTCATACAAGTGCATCGCGTACCAAGGAAATTCCGTACAAAACGACCGTTTTGTACAGAATTTCCCCCCTGGTGTTTTCAACGAGTCTGTTGGATACGTCTTAAAGAGAATTCGTATCATTGGCTATCTGGGTTTTACAAGTGCATCGCGTACCATATCCTAAACCATCAACTCGTATCACATCACATCGTTTCATAGCACAGCATGCCATATCAATCCATCTCATACCATATGGTGCCATATCGTATCGTGTCACATCATATCATATCATACCATGTTGTCCCATACCATGCTGTGTCGTATCACATCATACCATATCATATCATATCATACAGCTTCATAACATATCATACCATTACATGTCGAACCACGTCATGCCATATCATATCGTATCAGGTCATCTCACACCACATCCTGTCATACAATCGTCCTCCTCTTCCTGGCCCCATCCCCCCCTCTGCGCCGACATGCCCCTGGCGGTCGGGGACGGGGTCGGCCCCGCGGCCCTTGGCGGCGGCCCTCGCCTTGGCCACCCCCTGAGCGCTTCCTCCTGATGCTCCCCGGCCATTTTTCCGCGTCGCGAATCGCGAAATAAACGGGACTGACACATTTTCTGTGGTACATCGATATAATTTCGCATGCGTGCATATATATTATATATATAATATATATATATATATATATATATATATATAGTAAGGGGGCCGAACGGTCATTCACTGTCCCTGGGTGCGTGGCTGAAGTGGAATTCCGCGGTGCGGATTCTCGTTGTTGTTGTTGTTGTTGTTGTTGTTGTTGTTGTTGTTGTTGTTGTTGTTGTTGTTGTTGTTTGTTGTCGTCGTCCCACCCGCAACCCGCCCCGCGACCCACCCGCGACCCACCCCGCGACCCACCCGCGACCCACCCGCGACCCACCCGCGACCCACCGCGACCCACCCGCGACCCACCCGCGACCCACCCCGCGAAACCCACCCCGCGACCCATCCCGCGACCCACCCCCGCGACCCACCCCGCACCCGCCCGCGCGACCCACCCGCGACCCACCCGTGACCCACCCGCGTCTACCCGCGACCCACCCGCGACCTACCCCGTGACCCACCCGCGACCCACCCGCGACCCAAACCACGTTCAAGGTACAAACCACCATTTTCGGCGCCTGCGGCGGTTTTTTTTGCATTCCTTCCAGGTGGAGAGCCCGCGACCTACCCCGTGACCAACTCGCGACCAACCCGCGAAACCACGTTCATGGTACAAACCACATTTTTCGGCGCTTGCGGCGGGCATCTTTTGCATTCGTTTCAGGTGGAGAGCCCGCGCCCCACCCGCGACCACGTTCAGGGTACAAACCACATTTTTCGGCGCCTGCGGCGGGCATCTTTTGTATTCGTTCCCAGTGGAGAACCCGCGGCCCACCCGCGACCCAAACCACGTTCAGTGTACAAACCAATTTGTTTGGCGCCTGCGGCGGGCTGCTTTTGCATTCCTTCCGCTTTTGCATTCCTTCCAGGTGGAGGTGGAGAGCCCGCGACCCACCCGCGACCTAAACCACGATCATTGAACAAACCAATGCCGCTCAAGCGCGGCGGCGGATTTTTGCATGCTGTCTGAGCCCGCAAGGACCTCTTCAAGCCCCGCGCATCCACACCAGCCCGTCCAGCAACTCTGCCCTGGCGAGTTGCCTTGATCAGAGAAGGCGGGGAGCATAAAGTGGAAAAAAGGATTGCGTTGCAGTTATCTTGGGAAAGGAGGGGGAGGCAGGAGGAGTAAACAGGGGACGAGGAGAACGCGGAAGAAGAGAGGATGTAAGGAGAACGTGGAGAAAGAAAAGGAGGAGGAGCAGGAGGACGAGGAGGGGGAGGAGGGGGAGGAGGAGGACGAGGAGGGGGAGGAGGGGGAGGATGATGATGATGGACGACAATGGGAGGACGATGATGGAGGCCGATGAGGGGGAGGACGACAATGGGAGGACGATGATGAAAGGACGAGGGGGGGAGAGGGAGGACGAGGAAGAAGAGGAGGAGGAGGACGAGGTGGAGGAGGAGGATGACGATGACGATGAGGACGAGGACGAGGAAGAGGAGGAGGAGGAGGAGGAGGAGGAGGAGGAGGAGGAGGAGGAGAGCGCCATCGACAGGGAAGGTGGGGGCCACGAGGTCCGCCGGCTCGACGACGCCCGCGTCGCCCGCGCCCGCCCCCTCACTCTTATCCGCAATTGCGGGGTGCTACGTATTTGTGTGTGTGTGTGTGTGTGTGTGTGTTTGTGTGTGGGCTTTTGCTTTTTTGTTTCCGGTGGTTCTTTCATGCTTTGTTTGGGGTCTGTTCTTCTTCGTGCCGTCTGGTTCCTTCGCCCTCCAGGGGCCCCACCCGGCCCCAGGACCCCTGTCGGACGCGTCAGGATGGAGAGCCGGTCCCGGGGAAGCGGTCCGCACTTCCGAGGTTCCACGCTGCAGCGAAACTCTCACGACGCCGGAGGCCCAGGCCGCCAGCGCCCAGGCGCTGGCCCGCCGTTCGGGTGCGGAGGCTGCCGGCGGCGTCCCTGGCCCACGGTGCCCCCAGCTTTTCGCGCTATTGGAGGAGGATGAGGAGGTTGAGGAGGAGGAGGAGGAGGAGGAGGAGGAGGAGGAGGAGGAGGAGGAGGAGGAGGAGGAGGAGGAGGAGGAGGAGGAGAGGAGGGAGGAGGAAGGAGGAGGAGAGGAGGAGGAGGAGAGGAGGAGGAGGGAGGAGAGGAGGAGGAGGAGGAGGAGGAGGAGAGGAGAGGAGCGGAGGAGGAGAGGAAGGAGAGGAGGAGGATGAGGAGGAGAGGAGGAGGAGGAGGAGGAGGAGGAGGAGGAGGGAGGAGGAGGAGGAGGAGGGAGGAGAGGAGGAGGAGGAGGAGGAGGAGGAGGAGGAGGAGGAGGAGGAGGAGGAGGAGGAGGAGGGAGGAGGAGGAGAGGAGGAGGAGGAGGAGAGGAGGAGGAGAGGAGGAAGGGTTGAGGAGGAAGGAGGAGGAGGAGGAGGAGGTGGAGGAGGAGGACGAGGAGGAGGAGGACGACGAGGAGGAGGAGGGGTGGCCCTGGACTTTGGACACGCAGCGTGTCACATGGATGCCACCATCCAGCACTTCTCTGGGAGATTCGGCCCCAGCCTGCAGCAGCCCCGCGGCGCCAGGCGCAGGCCGCGTCCGTGCGCGCGTCCGTGTCCACGACTCGTGGCTCTGGCGGCTGCAGCCGCCTCCCCGGAAGTC